GCCTCTAGAGTAGCTGGGATTACTGGCACTTGCCACCACTTCCGGCTCCAGAGGTGCTTTTTTAAAGTCCCATATGGGACAAGAGCTTCCTTGTTAGAAGGCCTTGGGCAGTGTGAGACTCAGCCCTTAATACCCTAGCTTGTGGAATTGTAAAATTTAAAGGAGATGAAAAATAGCCCCTATTAGGTAAATGGAGGATTTTTTTTTTTTTTTTTTTTTTTTTTTTTTTTTAAGATTGGGTTTCACCATGATGGCCAGGCTGGTCTTGAACTCCTGACCTCAGATGATCCACCCACCTCGGCCTCCCAAAGTGCTAGGATTACAGGCGTGAGCCACCGCGCCCGGCCAGATTTTTTTTTTTTTTTTAACTGTAAATTGTACTGGTTAACCATCCAGCAAACTGCATATCTTTTGTTCATTGCCACAGGAGAACAAGTAAAGGGAATCTGGGCTGGTTATTCCAAAGTAGCTGTTCTTTTATGCATTGTTGAAATAGTGGCAATAGAACATACTGTCTTTGAAGCCACAGGGGAGTGCTTTGTACAGTATAAACATTTTGCTTATTTATATGGGGGGAAGGAGAGATTGAGACCTACATGCCAAAGGGAGTATCTAAAGTCTAGTCAAAAGATCTTTATCTATTCCGACTTCTGAAGAAAGTTTGAAGAAATGAGAAATAAAGTAAAAGCTCAAGATTGTTTCTTTTTTATTAGAGCAAATTTTTCAGAACATAAAACAAGAATATAGTCGTTACCAGAGGTGGAGACATTTAGAAGTTGTTCTTAATCAGAGTGAAGCTTGTGCCTCAGAAAGTCAACCTCACTCCTCAGCACTCACAGCACCTAGCTCTCCAGGTAAGCCCGATTTAATCTGCAAAATCCACTTAAGAATTTGTAAATGATACTTAAAACGATGAATCCAGAATTGGTCTCATCTAATGTAATACAGTTGCTAAAGTGGATATATTACTACTTACAGATATTTTTTTTAATTCTAAAATTATGAAATTGGAAGAAACCTCAGATTGATTTGATGTGCTTCCATCCACCCAATACAAGAATATCTTCCTGTATAACTGCAATGTGTAATATGGTAGCCAGTGCATATTAGATAGCCACATGTGGGCTATTTAATTTTAAATGATTAAAGTTAGATAAAATTTTGGCTGGACGAGGGCCGGGCTTGGTGGCCCACGCCTGTAATCGCAGCACTTGGTGGATCACTTGAGGTCGAGAGTTGGAGACCAACCTGACCAACATGGAAAAACGCTGTCTCTACTAAAAATACAGTTAGCTGGGCATGGTGGCACATGTCTATAATCCCAGCTACTCAGGAGGCTGAGGCTGGAGGATTGCTGGAACCCAGGAGGCAGAGGTTGTGGTGATTCAAGATTGAGCCATTGCACTCCAGCCTGGGCAACAAGAGTGAAATTCCATCTCAAAAAAACAAACAAAATTTTTTTTGGCCAATTTAGGTGGCTCATGCCTGTAATCCTAGTACTTTGGAAGACTGAGATGGGCGGATCACCTGAGGTCAAGAGTTTGAGACCAGCCTGGCCAACATGTCAAAAGCTGGTCTCTACTACAAATACAAAAAAATTAGGCATGTTGGTGCTCACCTGTAATCCCAGCTACTTGAGAGGTTGAGGTTGTAGTGAGCCAAGATCACACCACTCCACTCCAGCCTAGGTGGCAGAGTGAGTCTCCATCTCAGAAAACAAAACAAAATATTTATTTCCTTTTTTTTGAGATGGTGTGCCACCATGCCTGGCTAATTTTGTATTTTTAGTAGAGATGGGGTTTCACCATGTTGGTCAGGCTGGTTTCAAACTCCTGACCCCAGATAATCCACCCAGCTCGGCCTCCCAAAGTGCTGGAATTGCAAGTGTGAGCCACCACACCCAGCCCCAACTCGATGTTTCTTTTGGCCAGGTTCGTCATGGATGAAGAAGGACCAGCCCACCTTTACCCTCCGACAAGTTGGAATAATATGTGAGCGTCTCTTAAAAGACTATGAAGATAAGATTCGGGAGGAATATGAGCAAATCCTCAATACCAAACTAGCAGGTAGGCCGAGGCAGTGAATATGCCATTGTCATTAACGGGGTTCAGTTAAGAATTAATGCCAGTTAAATAACTTAGAGAATAGGACTTCATGCAAGGGGGTTTATTGAGTTTTGGGTATTGAAGTTACTTTGGTGATTGTAAACACATCATGTATACACTATATGGAAGGACTTTGTTTTTTTTTTGTTGTTGTTTGTTTTTGTTTTTGTTTTTATTGGCTTCAAGTTCCAAGGACTTTGTTTTTAAAATAGAGGCAAGGTTTTGCTATGGGCCCAGGCTGGTCTGTAGCTCAGGGCCTCAAGAAATCCCCCACCTCAGCTTCCCAAAGTGCTGGGATTACTGGAATGTTACACCTTCCCCAGTGGGAAGGATTTTTCATTTGCATTTCTGAAAAGAAAGAAATCAAGCCTCTGCAAGAATTTTCCATATCAGTAAAGGCATTGAGTAGGCCATTTGGGCTAGCTGGCTGGTAAACAGGTGGTTGTGATACTATACGAAACTCCCAACAGGTGTTATGGAAGAGTGCAGCATTGTCAACATATTCAAATTTCCTAGTGGAAGTCATAGTTATGAATGTTGAGAGTCGGACATCCTATGATTTGAGAGGAACAATAGAATAAAAGCAAGGCTAGGGCAGGCTTTGTTTTACAAAAGTAGTGATCAGTGATGGCAACAATTAAAGCCTTCTGTGAAAGGAAGAGATCTGAATCAGGAATAAAAAATAGTACCTGTTTAGTGAAAGTGGATAATGTTTCACGTTAAACCACAGTACTGTATCGCAAGTACCAACCTTATCATACTCCTTTTCTGATTAAAGTCCTCAGCTGAACCCTGTGGGATATAGGTCAAGATCTGTTGCTTAGGATGACAGTGTGAGTAATTAGGAGATATATAGGCAGCTTTCATGCGTTGCTGCTGTGTAATCATGAGGGAGAGTGAAGAAGCACAACTTTTTCCTGTAACAGCACTGTTTCCTAATCTGGTGACCCACAAAACTTGGTTCCTTGAAATGTTAATAGGTCTGCTTTATATTGGGAGCTGTTGAGTTAAGCAAAGTTAAATGGGTTCCTCTATAGTAGAACTACTTTGATCCTTTAATATAATACATATTATAAGAAGCATCTCTAATATATCATTCCCTCTCCCACTCCCACCTTAATACTATTTCAGTCAGCTGGTTCTGAGTCACTTCTCTGTTCACAGATGTCAGGCTGCCGCTTTTTCTACTCAGTTTCCCGTTACAAGGTGGTACTTCTGTAGAACTGTTTACAGTTGTATGGTATAGATTTTCTCTTAGATTTCTGACCATCCCACACTTCTTCCACTCATGGTTTTCACTCAGTGAGTGTTGAAATTTATAGCAAGGAAAGAGTTTCTAAGATTCATGTCCCATAGGAGAAGGGCTGAAATTTGCTGGCTGTGGTAGTAAGCATACCTCTCTGTCTTGGGAGGCTATTAGTAGGGGATGGAGTTATGTCAGGGGGAGAGGTTATCAGGAAAATACTGTTATACACCATCAGTGACCAATTCTAGAAGCCAGGGATTTGGCTCTGGGTTCTAAGAGGAAGGATCAGATCTCCTTTATAAGGAGGGCCTGAGAAGGTGGAGAATTCAAACTGGGAAGCTATTTGTGATCCTGACACTTGATTCTTGAAAAATTGAGGGAGAGTTGCTGAGGATAAGTATGTACTGTCTTCTCACAGAACAATATGAATCTTTTGTGAAATTCACACATGATCAGATTATGCGACGGTATGGGACAAGGCCAACAAGCTGTAAGTATTGCCACATTTTCTTTGAATTTTCCAAGTTTCAAGAGCAGAATTTCTTCACTGAATCTCTCCTGAGAGTAAAAAGCCTCTGTGAAGTAAAATGTGCCTGCCTCTGTGCTAAGTCTCTTAAATCCACACCAAAGCTTATCCGCACAGTGACTCTATGAGGGAGTACTACTGTTAGCCCCATTTTATGCGTAAAGATAGCACTTAAAGAAGTTAATTTGTCCAAGCTTATATAGCTAGTGGTTCAGCCAGGATTAAAATCTAGGTAATCTGACTCAAGCACCAATTGTTACCAGAAAGATAGTTTCAGTTGTTAATTTATGAAAATTGATTCCTTAAGTTAGTTTATCAAGTGTGGTCAGTATTTCTTTTTGTTTTTTTGTGGGGAGAGGTGGCGGTGTGTGTTTTTGTTTGTTTGTTTGTGTTTTTTGGGGGTTTTTTTTGAGACGAAGTCTCACTCTGTTGCCCAGGCTGGAGTGCAGTGGCACTCACTGCAACCTCAACATCCTGGGTTCACGTGATTCTCCTGCCTCAGCCTCCCGAGTGGGTGGGATTACAGGTGCCCACCACTATGCCCAGCTAATTCTTTGTATTTTTAGTAGAGACAGGGTTTCACCATGTTGGCCAGGCTAGTCTCGAACTCCTGACCTCATGATTACCCGCCCTGGCCTCCCAAAGTGCTGGGATTATAGGCATGAGCCACCTCACCCAGCCACAAGACTTCTTATTCTAAATATCTTGCAGCTACCAGATATTCAAAACATAAAATATAAACAGCTGTATATCTAATTGAATTTGAGTCAGATTTCTTAAATTCTTGATCTTTAGTGTCTTTTAAGTGGTGACTCATTGTTCATGCTATTTATCACATTTACTATTAGTGAAAATTTTTAAAGCATGACACTACATTTTTTAGTATTCTTAACCCTTGTTTTTTATTCCTAATTTACAGATGTGTCCTGAAGCTTTGTCACATATCTGGGTACCAGGTTTGACCTCAAAAGATGGCTGCTGTACACTTTTTGCAACTGGTTTGATATCACATTTCAGCTCCAACTTTGCATCCTGAGAACACTTAAATGTTTCTGCGGGTCCATTTTATACAACTTGAAAGACCATAAAACTTTCTGGTTGCCACAAGCATATCTTTCTTTTCTGCTCATCCAATAAACAGCTGTGCCCTACTGTGATAGATGTTCCAAACAAAAATACCTGGAGCAGCAGTTTAGCAAAATATGCCTTCAGTGGCACTCAGCAAATGGAGTTTCCCCAAGCACAGTTCTGTAAGAAGTGTGTGTGAGAGTGTGTGTATATGTGTGTATGTGTATTTTAAGTTATTATTTGTATTGTGCAAAAACTTTTTTTGATCTTGGGGATTCTGGCTGTGAATTTGATGCACGACAATTATGGTAAAAAAACATTTGCTTGGTCTACAGAAGATCATTAATGTTTTGTGACCATATAAGTTGTAACAGTGGATTGTTTTTATGTGTAGGTATTATTGTTAAATACAGGGACTGTTTCCAGGCACAGAATATGAATCATAAGTTAGGATGGACATTAGATATGATTATGATGATATAGCAAAGGTCTACAGTCCTAGATCTACAGATGTGTGGTGAGAAATTTGAACAAACTGGAGACGGGCCATTGACACATGGACTCTGCCTAGGCGTGTTAGGAAAATACTTTGACTCCAAGCCTTAAAATACTCACATGGAGTCAGTGCTCACCTCATTCACACAATCATAGAGCTCCCTGGACACTGAACCTCTAAAGGGAAAAGGTGTCCCCTGGAGCAGGAGCATCAGGGTTTGCTTGGGAGCATAAGAGGTGAGCTCAGGGCTAGGCCTGGGCCAGGCCCCAGCAGCACTGCTACTTGGGAGGAGCCACTTCACCTTTGTGTTAGTTATTAAAAGTAGAATTGGGGCTGGGTGTGTTGGCTAACGCCTGTAATCCCAGCACTTTGGGAGGCCGAGGTAGGTGGATCACTTGAGGTCAGGAGTTCAAGACCACCCTGGCCAATATGGTAAAACCCCATCTCTATTAAAAATCCAAAAAAATTAGCCAGGTGTAGTGGCAAGCGCCTGTAATCCCAGCTACTTGGGAGGCTGAGGCAGGAGAATCACTTGAATCCAGGAGGCAGGGGTTACAGTGAGCTGAGATCGATCGCGCCACTGCACTCCAGCCTGGGCGACAGAGACTCCGTCTCAAAAAAAAAAAAATATAGAATCCTTTGGTCAGGTTCTCCCAAATTATTTTGAGGTGTCCATGGTCAACTGCTTCAGCTTTGTTTTGGCAACCCCCTGCCCGAAGTCGCATATAGGCTGTTCTTCACCTTGTTTCCAAGGCCGAGGAACAGAAAATAGCCTCTGTTTTGAGGAGGTGGAAGTTAAGTATACATTTATTTTTTACTGTGACTTGTTCAGGACCACATTTTACAAAATGCCTTGTTTCCTTTATTGTTTCTGGAAAGGAAAGTTCTATTAATATTGTTTTACTTTGAATATAGAATAGTTTTTTTAATTAGGGCTTATTTTGAAAAATTCTGAGTTTAATTCAAATGTATGCCAATACCTTCCAAAGTAAGGTAATATTCAGAGACAGTTGTTCTGATCAGATGGCTTAGAGAAATTTCTGGAATATTCACATTCAAAGATCCTTATTAATGAATGTCTTTGACTTAAATCTAACCAAAAACTGCAACATTATTCTTTGTACATTTTCATTATATAGTGTTAACAAGCTTAGTTGCAAACAAATAAAATACTTAAGCTATTTGTTTACCTTGCCTTCTTAATACTGTGATAATGTTCACTAATTCAGATAACTTACATGAGAGCTGCTATAACCATTTCCCCAGTTCAACATTACATTGAAAATTTATGGACCTTTAAAAAAAAGCCCAACAGTGATTTTTTAAAATAATGAAAGAATGATTTTACTTCGTATTTGAAGGGCAATTTGTTATCTCTTTTCATGGTAGTCACTTGTTCCTAAAAGAGGAACATAGCATTGGCTGTAATGGGAATGGCACTGCAGTGGGCTAGTCACACCAAAATAAGGAAAGGGCAGCTGTGGGAGCCATCAGAAGCCATGGAGGCTGAACCAGTAATGGGGAATGCTGCCCAACTGAAGTCTTGTAATAGATCAGAGTTATGTGCTCACTTGCTATTTAAAGTGTCAGCCCCTATTCCAACTAAGTTGCTCCTGGCTGAGAAATAGAGTAGATTTCTCTAAGGAAAATGACACTGCTCACCCCACCCTCTCACTATATCCATTGTTGGGCTATCATGTAAGGTTGCCCTCTGGGGTCACAAGGTAAGACCAAACCACCACGGCCGGGTTTTGGGATCCCCTCTAAAGAGACTACACATGTTTGTCTAGTGTTTATAATCTAGAGAAAAGACAATTATGAGAGAAAATGGGGACCTGGAAGGTAGGTCTTAGACTGTCAAATGAGGGAATTTTTCCCTAGACATTGATTTCCAGAGCTTGAATTTAAGGGCACTCTTTGTCCCATATAAATTAAAGACCAAGGAAGAAGTCACCCTACAAAAACATAAGCCTCTGAGGACCAGAGTTTTCAGAACAGCCATGTCTGGTGAGCTAGTTTTTTCTCTATTTTAATTCCAGTTATTATCCTCTTGACAGTCTTAAGCTTAAGGGAAAAAAAGGAGTTAAGTGTCCATTCTTGAGTCAGAAGAGGGAAAGGAACATCAGAGCTCCTAAGGCAGTGATAATTGTTAAGATCTTCCAACGGGGAAGACCATCAGGGAGTACAAGAATTTAAGCCAACCTTCCAGACCTGGTGAATCTTCTAATCTGCTTACTGTGGAGGATTAGTTGGCTAGTATAGTTGTTAAAGGACTGACTTTGGGTGTTTGTAGCTCTGTAGTTTAGTTTCTTCTCTGCCACTAATTTGTTTATGTCAGCCTTGCCAGGTTACTAAACTCTGAACTATGGCTTCCTTACCTGTAAAATTGAGGTTAATAATAGGTACATACTGGATTTTGTTTTCAAATGCAAGAAATAATCCATGTAAAGTATTTAGCACAGCTTGGGCTTAGACTATGCACTTTAAAATGTTACAGCAGGTTTCTTTATAGTAGTCATCAGCTCTGGAGACCCATACTTTTGTGTCCCAGGTAGTGATTCTCAGTTTTCCAATATGGATAGCCCCTTGTTAATATAAAGATCTTACTTTTGCTTATTAGAATTTGTATCTTTAAGTGTTTGATTAAATAAATAAAAGATGAATGACAAATGAATTTGGTAATGCCTTTCTGTGAATCTGTATTCACTATGTATGGTTTTGTTTTGTTTTTTTCACTATGTATATTTTGTATGTTACTCTATAATGGGGTCATACAAAAACTGGCCTGTTTTTGGAAAGTTTTGTGGAAACATTGCTACACCTATTCATTTATCTGTGGCAGCTTTCAAATTGCAACCCCAGACTTGCATAGGTGCTAAAAGTATGGGCCACAGAGCTGAAAATACTGTGTCCTTTTACACAAAAATAGTGCCTTTGCACTAGAGCATGAAGAAACATTTGAAAAAGAACACACAAACAAGGCAGACTTACTCATTTATAATCCTTGTTGCATCACAAGTTGGTGAACACTTGCCCTAATTTGTCGTTCTTAAGGATATTACACCTTAAGTTGAGGTGTGATGAAAAAATCCTTTTTGCTTACAAATAAAAACTGACTGATTGCCAAAGTATGTTACAGAAAAAGCTACTGAAAACTGTTTAGAGCAATGATTCTCTCTTTTTTTTTTTTTTTTGAAACAGAGTTTCACTCTTGTTACCCAGGCTGGAGTGCAATGGCGCGATCTCGGCTCACCGCAACCTCCGCCTCCTGGGTTCAGACAATTCTCCTGCCTCAGCCTCCTGAGTAGCTGGGATTACAGGCACACGCCACCATGCCCAGCTAATTTTTTTGTATTTTTAGTAGAGATGGGGTTTCACCATGTTGACCAGGATGGTCTCAATCTCTTGACCTCCTGATCCACCCGCCTCGGCCTCCCAAAGTGCTGGGATTACAGGCTTGAGCCACCTGGCCGCAATGATTCTCAAGGATGGGGACAGGAAGCATACAATTGGGGGAGGGAAAAAGATTTGAAATGACCAATTTTATTGCACGCATTTTTAATTTTAGCATTTTAGGTACAAAAATGGGTATGAGAATTTTACTTAACAGAAGTAGCAGGACTTTAAAGGTAGTTTATAAAATACTGTTCTTTTTTTTTTTGGAGACGGAGTTTCGCTCTTGTTACCCAGGCTGGAGTGCAATGGCGCGATCTTGGCTCACCGCAACCTCCGCCTCCTGGGTTCAGGCAATTCTCCTGCCTCAGCCTCCTGAGTAGCTGGGATTACAGGCAACACGCCCAGATAATTTTTGTATTTTTAGTAGAGACGGGTTTCACCATGTTGGCCAGGCTGTTCTCGAACTCCTGACCTCAGGTGAGCCACCATGCCGGGCCATTTTAACTGCTTTTTAGTTGGCTTTGCCAGTAGGTTTCTCTCTTTGTTTTTTAGAGATGGTCTCACTCTGTTGCCCATGTTGGAGTGCAGTGGTACAATCATAGCTCACTGCAGCTCAAGCGAGCCCCCCACGCTTGGGCTCCCAAAGTGCTGAGATTATAGGTGTGATCTCCCAGATTTTCTTTTTTCAAATTTAGGGTGACAATAGCCTGTGGCACAGCCCTCAGGGGGTCCTGAGAACATGTGTTCCAGGTGGATCCAGATGTTTTAATGCTCCATTTCTAGGAGTGAAAGTACCTATTTCTTGTCTCATCAGGGCTTTGATTAAAGGCTGTTAACCTGGCTCGATACCCAATATACCTTCTTGTTACTTAAACATAAGTAGGAAAAGATATGTTTATGTTAGCTTTGAGTGTTAATCATTCAGCAAGTGTTACTGGTGTCTTCTGTGTTCTTTATTTGTGGAGAATGATATTTGAGTTTTTAAAGTCTGACAAGTTCTGAAAATGGCCCTAGCCCATCTGTCTTATATCCCTAGTACCCAGTTTAGAGTTTAACATAAATAGTTGAATCTGCTGAGAACGGACTCAGTCTAGCAAGAGATAGAAGCAGGCAAGGTAAAAGTTGGTAAGTGTTGTTTGAATGGTACAGGTGGTAGACTGAGGAAATAGCGGTTCTGATCAGGGAAAGCTTCACTGGAGGAGGTAGGGTGGAAACAAGGTTCAAAGAATGAATGGGCTCAGGTAGGTGAAAGTAGGGATTGGGGCTTGAAGTAAGCAAAGACTGAGTAGTGGGAAACCATGGTGGTATACAGAGAGGACATTCTTGTGTAACCAGAGTAGAAAACTATTGTGGATCCTGGGAAGAGTTTGGAGCTGAGTAGTAGTAGGGGCTATCTAATAGAGGGCTTTGGCTACTAGGAGTTTGGCCCTTATCCTGTGGAAATCTGAAGAGCTTGGGGAAAACGAATTCAGGGCTAGGTGCAAGACAGAAGGGCAAATACCAGACTAAGACACAGCCACTAAAAGTCTCTTTTTTGGTCCAGTCAGAGGTAATGAAGGCCCATATGTTTATTGAGAAGGATGATTAGCCATGGCTGTAGCTTCACCTAAAAGGAACATGGCTCTTGAAGAATCTGGTCTCATCTTCCCTGTCCCTTTAGACATTCCTTCAAAGATCCTTTTTCTTTTGGATTGGCTTGTCTTTGCCCCCCACTTTATCTATTCCAGCCCAGTTCCACAGCTGCTTCTGGTTCCTTTGACAGTAGAGGAGGGGAATAAGGTGACATAGATCCTCTTAAACCTACCTATTTAAAGGCATTAATTAGCTCTTGCATACACTATTTTAAAATTTTCCTCTCAATTGCTTGAGTCCAGGAGTTCAAGGTTACAGTAAACTATGATTGCACCACTACAGTCCAGCCAAGGAGAGCAAGACCCTGTCTCTTTAAAAGCAAAGAAAGAATGATGACATAGGGTTAGAGAGTTGATGAGGAAAAAAAAGAAAAATTTCCTCTCAGACTCTGTCCCCAGCATTGACTCAACCTATTATTTTTTACTTTTTCTTTTTTTTTTTGAGATGGAGTTTTACTCTTGTTGCCCAGCATGGAGTGCAGTGGCACCAACTCAGCTCACTGCAACCTCCACCTCCCAGGTTCAAGCGATTCTCCTGCCTCAGCCTCCCAAGTAGCTGGGGTTACAGGCACCTGCCTCCACACCCAGCTAATTTTTAGTAGAGACAGGGCTTCACCATGTTAGCCAGGCTGGTCTGGAACTCCTGACCTCAAGTGATCCACCACCTCAGCCTCCCAAAATGTTGGGATTATAGGCATGAGCCACTTCACCTGGCTTTGACCTATTATCTCTATTCTTATCTCTTAAATAGTGAATGACTTAATGAATTATGTGGCTACTCTTCCTGTTCCCCAGTCTTCAGTATTCTACCCGAAACTCTTTCTTGTTAACTCCCAGATCAAATAATTTTAAGCCTTCTGTAGGCTGTCTCTCTACTGAGTACCAACTCAGCTGGAGAGACCCCCACCCAGGCAGCACTGAAGGAAATGAGAAACACCCAGATAGAACAACAAAGTGGGTCTATCCAGGGGGCCAGCAGCCTTTTGAACTGAGAGCCTCAGGGGCTAACAGCATTCCAGGCTGAAGGCCCTGAGCAGAGTCTGATCCATTTATTTATTCTCTCTGGACAGGTGATTATTTTTAACAAACAGGTGTTCTGTATTTTCTCATAACACAAAAATACAGCAAGCAGGCAGCTGTTGCTTGCTTACCACTGATTATGAACAAGCTAAAAGGTATTCTCCATGAGGGAGCCAAGGGGGCAGGGTCAGATAGCTCAACAAATTGTTTTAACCAGCGTACGATATGCATACATTGTCCTACCACTTTGGAATGCCCCAAGTAGTTTACTACTTGCGGAGGTGGGGGCAGCTAGGTTTTCCCTGCCATCGTTCTTCCTAGCAAACAATATATTCTATCATACACTCAGCATTCAACAATATTCATAAACTTAATATTTCTCAACATTTCTCTGCAGCCAAAATTATTGATTCAGCAGTCCTCATCCTAGAGAAGTTCACAGTCTACTGGGCAGAAGACTCCTGCTTTGGTATGTGTTCGAGTCTGGACAGAGAAAGGGCAGGGTGTTTCCTGGGGAAGGTTATTCAGCTGCCCTGGCAGGTTCCCTGCAGGTAGTGTAATTACCCTCATCTGTGTTCAGGAATGCTGACTCACTAATAAAGCTATATTCTATAAAACCAGACTCCAGTGTGTTAATTTATTATGAGAATATATATCAGGTAGACTGGCCCTTTGGCCTTACCAGTTTATTTTCTTCATGTAATCGTACTACTTAGGAAGCCTGATTAAAGTTAAGAGGCAGCTCTATAAATCAAAATGAGAGGAGTTAGTAGTTCTAGGGATGGGGTGCTTACCAAAATCAAGTTACCCCTCCCACCATGAGCCTGGCACAGTCTCTCCCCAATTCATTTTGCTTCAGTGATTCCTGATTGTTTCCCCTGTTCAACTTGATATTTCCTCCACCCTCAAATGGCACATTGTTAGATGTCACTTAGATGATCACTCTGGTTTCCATTATATTCTAGCCCTTAGGACCCATTTGTTTTTCACATTACTTTGCTTCTCTGCTCTATTGTGTCTGTTCTACAGCCAAATTACCAGGTTAGGAGTAGGGAGACTTTGCAAATACCGTCTTCCCCAAGTGTGCTACCCTGCTTATTCAAATCTCTGTGACAGTGGTACCAGGATACAGACCAAAATTAAATTCCCAATGTGCTAAATTATAGACAGCCTATCTGTAGAAGGGTACTGTGAGAGCTTTTCTCAAATTATGACTAAGAGGTGTGTAAACATGAGGAAACCTTACAGGTCAAGGACAGAAATCCTGTGAATACAGCCCCAGGGGACCTTTAGACAGCTCTGGCTGCGACCTTGCACACACCCTGCATGCAGCAGCTGAGGCTTGTTCAGAGGGCTGGGACTGAGGGTCTTGCATTAGGACTTCCAGCCCTGCTTTGTTATGCTGGGAGCAAGGCTATGTTGGGAAGAATACCTAGACTTGTTCCACTGGATGTCGGGGCCTCAGGATCCATGAAACGGAAAACAGCAATAGCCTGGGCTTGCCTCTCTACGCTGGAAGGTCGCCTTTGATTTCAGTATGAAAACACCCAAGAAGCAATGGGTATGCAGATCCAGGCAAAGAAAAGGTAAAGGTGGGGAAGGGGGAAAGGGACGGCAACATTACCTCGCTTGTGACAGAGAGAGCATCAAAATGCAGGCAGCCACCAGTGGCAACACGCAGACTCAGTTCTGGCAGGGGGTGCTCTGGGAGTTGTAGTTTCCCAGCCTTTGTGGCCAAGGAAGGCTGACACCTACATCCTTCCTTGCACGCCCCTCATGCATACAGCAAGACTGTATGCAGGGCCCAGTGGAGGCCAGGGCATCATTTAACAGGGCATCATAATTTAACAATATAATAGCTGTTTACAGGTTGGCAGGATCTCAAAAAGGCCTAGTAAATGCCTGAGGAATTCAGGAAGTTTTCACCAGAAAACGACATGATAAACTAGATCTGGATGGATTAGGCATTCACCAGGGAGACAGTGGGAAGGTGGCAGTGAATGGGTGGGATTGTTCCAGGCAGAAGAAACTGCTCCTACAAGCTTGGAACATGAGAGCTATCGTGGATGGCTGAGAACAAGAGTTTGAGTGGGGGCAGTCAAGAATGGGATCTGAGGATTTAGAAATGGGTGAACGATCTTAATGCCAAACCCAAGAATTTTTACCTTTTCTAGAAGCGTTGACACCTCACACACAGACGGGGCAGAATGAATGGCTCCCTCCTTTGTGTTTCATTCATCTTTCTGTAGCAGAAGATCACTGGCTACAGCATTATGACTGTTTTCTTCCTCCCAAGAGCTCTGGGGTCTTGGAAGTGTTATTGTTGTTATCTTAATAAATTACTGGGGTACAGCTGGGATTTGGTTACATGAGTAAGTTCTTTAGTGGTGATTTGTGAGATTTTGATGCACTCATCACCCAAGTAGTATACACTGTACCCTACTTGTAGTCTTTTATCCCTCACCCCCCTCCTGCCCTTTCCTCCAAGTCCCCAAAGTCCATTGTATCATTCTTATGCCTTTGTGTCCTCATAGCTCAGTTCCTACATATCAGTGAGAACATACGATATTTGGTTTTCCATTCCTGAATTACTTCACTTAGAATAATAGTCTCCAATCTCACCAGATCACTGCAAATGCCATTAATTCATTCATTTTTATGGATGAGTAGTATTCCATCATATATATATACCACCATTTCTTTTTTTTTTTTGAGACAGAGTCTCGCTCTTTTGCCAGGCACCAGGCTGGAGTGCAGTGGCGCAATCTCCATTCACTGCAACCTCTGCCTCCCAGCTTTGAGCAATTCTCCTGCCTCGGCCTCCCAAGTAGCTGGGACTAGAGGTGCGGGCCACCAGGCCCAGCTAATTTTTGTATTTTAATAGAGATGGGGTTTCACTATGTTGGCCAGGATGGTCTTGATCTCTTGACCTTGTGGTCTGCCTGCCTTGGCCTCCCAAAGTGCTGGGATTATAGGCGTGAGCCACCGTGCCTGGCCCACCGTTTATCTACTCATTGGTTTGATGGGCGTTTGGGTTGGTTCCACAATTTTGCAGTTGTGAATTATGCTGCTGTAAACATGCATGTGCAAGTATCTTTTTTGTATAATGATTTCTTTTTCTCTGGATAGATACCCTGTAGTAGGATTGCTGGATCAAATGATAGTTCTATTTTTCGTTCTTTAAGGAATCTCCACACTGCTTTTCATAGTGGCTATACTAATTTACATTCCCACCAACAGTGTAGAAGTGTTCCCTGATCACCGCAGCCATGCTGACATCTACTGGGTTTTTTTATTTTATTATTATGATTATTATTATTATTATTTTGGAGACAAGAGTCTTGCACTATCCCCCAGGCTGGAGCACAGTAGTATGATCTTGGCTCACTGCAACCTCCACCTCCCAGGTTCAAGCCATACTCATGCCTCAGCTTCCCAAGTAGCTGAGATTACAGGTGCCTGCCACCACGCACAGCTATTTTTTGTATTTTTAGTAAAGACAAGCTTTCACCATGTTGGCCAGGCTGGTCTCAAACTCCTGGCCTCAGGTGATCTGCCTGCCTTGGCCTCCAAAAGTGCTGGGATTACAGGCATGAATAGGCATGAGCCACTGTGCCCACTGTTTTTTTTTTTTTACTTTTTTGTTATAGCCATTATTATTCTCGTAGGAGTAAGGTGGCATCGCATTTCGGTTTTAGTTTTTTTTTTCTTTTCTTTTTTTTTTTTTTTTGAGACGGAGTTTTGCTCTTGTTACCCAGGCTGGAGTGCAATGGCGCGATCTCGGCTCACTGCAACCTCCGCCTCCTGGGTTCAGGCAATTCTCCTCCCTCAGCCTCCCGAGTAGCTGGGATTACAGGCACGCGCCACCATGCCCAGCTAATTTTTTGTATTTTTAGTAGAGATGCGGTTTCACCATGTTGACCAGGATGGTCACAACCTCTTGACCTCGTGATCCACCTGCCTCGGCCTCCCAAAGTGCTGGGATTACAGGCGTGAGCTACCGTGCTTGTCCTTCTTTTTTTTGTTTTTTTGAGACAGAGGCCACTCTGTTGCCCAGCCTGGAGTGCAGTGGCTCAATCTTGGCTCACTGCAACCTCTGCCTGCCAGGTTCAAGCAAGTCTCCTGCCTCAGCCTCCCGAGTATCTGGGACTACAGGGAGTTAGCGCTGTTACACCTGAGCGAGAGATTGAATTATGAGTCCTTTATTTTAGCCGGCGACTGAGAGGTGGCTAATGCCCAAAATTCTCTTGGCCCCGAAGAAGGAGTTCGGGGGTTTCTTATACCCTAGTTTGAAAGGGAGGGGAGAACCTAGCTGAAGCAAGTTTTTCACAGAAGCAGAGTAAGCAAAAAGTTAAAAGATAAACTAGTACATGAGAAATAAAACAGTATCAGGTTCAAGGGCTAAAGCTGTCATAAAAAGACATACAGGCCTGGCGCGGTGGCTCAAGCCTGTAATCCCAGCACTTTGGGAGGCCAGGCGGGTGGATCACGAGGTCAAGATATTGAGACCATTCTGGTCAACATGGTGAAACCCCGTCTCTACTAAAGATACAAAAAATTAGCTGGGCATGGTGGTGCGTGCCTGTAATCCCAGCTACTCAGGAGGCTGAGGCGGGAGAATTGCCTGAACCCAGGAGGCGGAGGTTGCGGTAAGCCGAGATTGCGCCATTGCACTTCAGCCTGGGTAACAAGAGCGAAACTCCATCTCAAAAAAAAGAAAAAAGACATACAACTTATAGATATGGGGGCTCTGGGTACTTGACAGCACCTGCATTCCCAGGCTCTGCTGGTACCACTTGACTCAGCCTCTTATCAGCAAATGCACTCCTGGATGAGCCGGTGTCATCCTGCCCCAGCTATATACTACAGTTACATACTTAATGGATGGGGAGGAGAATAACTAAAATGAAGAAGCTAAGATGGAGTCTGTTTGGCTCAAGAAGCTAACATGAAGCCTGAACAGCTCTTAGCTAAGAAAGAGAGAGTCAGTTCAAGCTAACAAAAAGCAGGTTATCACAGCACGCCACCATGCCCAGTTAACTTTTTGTATTTTTAGTAGAGACTGAGTTTCAGCATGTTGACCAGGATGGTCTCGAACTCCTGACCTTGTGATCCACCGACCTCAGCCTCCCAAAGTGCTGGGATTACAGGTATGAGCCACCACAACCGGGCTGCATTGTGGTTTTGATTTGCATTTCCCTGATCATTAGTGATGCTGAGGATTTTTTCATATGTATGTTGGCTATTTGTATATCTTCTTTTCAGAATTGTCTATTCATGTCCTTAGCCCACTTTTTGATGGGATTGTTTTTTTCTTACTGATCATTTGAGTTCATTGTAGATTCTGGATATTAGTCCTTTGTCAGATGTATAAATTGTGAAGATTTTCTCTGACTCTGTGGGTTGTCTGTTTACTCTGCTGGCTGTTCCTTTTGCCATGCAAAATCTCTTTAGTTTAATTAAATCCCAACTATTTATCTTTGTTTTTATTGCATTTGTTTTGGGTTCTTGGTCATGAAATCCTTGCCTAAGCCAATGTCAGAAAGGACTTTTCCAATGTTATCTTCTAGAATGTTTATAGTTTCAGGTCTTAGATTTAAGCCCTTAATCCATCTTGAGTTGATTTTTTTATTATTATTTTTTTTTTAGATGGAGTCTCGCCATCACGCCGGCTGGAGTGCAGTGGCACGATCTCGACTCACTGCAACCTTCACCTCCCAGATTCAGGCGATTCTCCTTCCTCAGCCTCCCAAGTAGCTGGGATTACAGGCATGCACCACCACACTGGGCTAATTTTTGTATGTTTAGTAGAGACTGGGTTTTACCCTGTTGGTCATGCTGGTCTTGAACTCCTGACCTCAGGTAACCCACCCGCCTCAGCCTCCCAGAGTGCTAGGATTACAGGTGTGAGCCACCTTGCCCAGACTATGTGCCTATTTTTATACCAGTACCATGCTGTTTTGGTGACTATGGTCTTATGGTTTGAAATAAAGTAATGTGATGCCTCCAGATTTGTTTTTTTTTGCTTAGTCTTGCTTTGGCTATGCAGGCTCTTTTTTGGTTCCATATAAATTTTAGAATTGTTTTTTTTTTTTTTGAGACGGAGTTTTACTCTTGTTACCCAGGCTGGAGTGCAATGGCGCGATCTCAGCTCACCACAACCTCCGCCTCCTGGGTTCAGGCAATTCTCCTGCCTTAGCCTCCTGAGTAGGTGGGATTACAGGCACGCACCACCATGCCCAGCTAATTTTTTGTATTTTGAGTAGAGACGGGGTTTCAACGTGTTAACCAGAATGGTCTCGATCTCTTGACCTCGTGATCCACCCGCCTCGGCCTCCCAAAGTGCTGGGATTACAGGCTTGAGCCACCGCGCCTGGCCTCTAGAATTGTTTTTTCTAATTTTGTGAAGAATGATGATGGCATTTTGATGGGGATTGTGTTGAATCTGTAGATTGCTTTTGGCAGTATGGTCATTTTCACAATATTGGTTCTACCCATCCATTAACATGGGATGTGTTTCCATTTGTTTGTGTTGTCTATGACTTGTTTCAGCAGTGTTTTGTAGTTTTCCTGGTATTTTTTTGCCTCTTTGGTTAGGTATATTCCTAAGTTGTTGTTGTTGTTGTTGTTTTTCCAGCTATTGTAAAAGAGATTGAGTTCTTTTTTTCCTTCTTCTTCTTCTTATTATTATTTTTTTGAGACAGAGTCTCCCTCCATTGCCCAGGCTGGAGTGCAATGGCACGATCTCAGCTCACTGCAACCTCTGCCTCCCAGGTTGAAGTGATTCTCCTCCCTCAGCCTCCTGAGTAGCTGGGATTACAGGTGCCTGCCACCACGCCCAGCAAATTTTTGTATTTTTAGTAGAGACTGGGCTTCACCAAGTTGGCCAGGCTGGTCTTGAACTCCTGACCTCAGGTGATCCACCCACCACCAAAGTGCTGGGATTACAGGTGTGAGCCACCATGGCCCGGCAGTGTTAAGTTCTTGGTTTGATTCTCTGCTTGGTCACTGCTGGTGTATAGAAGAGCTGATTTTGTGTACATTAATCTTGTATCCAGAAACTTTGCTGAATTCTTTTATCAGTTCAAGGAGCTTTCTGGTGGAGTCTTTAGAGTTTTCAAGGCAAACAATCATATCATCAGCAAACTGACAGTTTGACTTCCTCTTTACCAGTTTAGATGCGCTTTAGTTCTTTCTCTTGTCTGATTGCTCTGTCTAGGACTTCCAGTACTATGTTGAAGAG